TGGGCTCCCATTGCAATCTTCACAGAGTTTTGGCTTTTATGATTTTGAAACTGTGTCCATGCGGTATGTATCCTGGAAATGTTGAATTTTTATTAATCCCAGAGATTTCAGGAAGTTCATAACCCCTGGGGTTTTTATGGCAAGAGCTGGAAACACTGAGGTCGTTCATATCTTTTTCTCATTTGCTTCCTAGTAGGTTTGCGATGTTTCTGGAAAATCGTGGCTTTGACCATGACATTTACAAAACTGCCACAGTCTGAAAATTCACCACACCTGTCTCTGGCCTTGAACCCACTTGTTTCCGAAAGCTCTTCAGGGATGGACAATATCTGGAAATGCGCTTGTCAAGGTGGAGGTCATGTGCCTCGGCCATTTGCTTCCTCAGAGTTCTTACAGGATCAACTCAACACTAAAAGCACTTTTTTTTTTTTTGATCGTTTGCTTTTGTTTGTTTGTTTTTAAATGTAATTAATGGGCAACATTTTAAAGATTTATTTTATTTTTTAAATTTATTTGTTTTTATTTTATGTGCATTGGTGTATGGCTGTGTTAGATCTTGGAGTTACAAACAGTTGCTAGCTGCCATGTGGTTACTAGGAATTGAACCCAGATCCTGTGGAAGAGCAGTCAGTGCTGTTAACCACTGAGCCATTTCTCCAGCCCCTGTTTGTTTTAAAGTAGGATTTTTTGCAGGGCAAAAAAATTGATTATGAGAGGATCTGTTGAAGTCACGGGAAAGACACTTCATTTTTTAAGAAATTGGAATGACAAAGAGAGCAGGATTCATGCCTTTATTTTTAAAAGAAAAAGGGGGGTTTGTAGTGTTCTAAGCCTGCAATGCTACGTGGGGAAAAAAAAGATATCGCTAAATCATCATTTCTAGAATAATCTGCAGTGACTACAGTGTTGGGAACTTAGATTGCTTGACAGACAGAGCATGTCCTGTCAAACTGATTCATTTCCTTCCATGAAAGAGTAACAAGATTTTAGTAGATTGAGGGGGAATGATAAATGTATTCCGTAGTTTATTTAGCGAGGTGCTCTAACCTGTTTCATCCATCCAACATCCTTTCAATGAATTCTGAAAACTTGGAGACAGGCATTAGATGTCCAGGGGATTTGCACTCCCATGCGGAGATCCAGACTCAATATCACACCATTGTTTTTTCTTTTGTTGAGACTCCTAGCAGCCGAGAGAAGACACTGATCTTGTGTTTCAAGAGAAAGACATATTGGTCGTTCCCCTCAAAGAAGCCTCTGAATCCTGACAAATGATCTGACATGTTTGTCATTTGTAGGTTTGATCATTGCTATTCAGATATGTTCAGAAATAATGGTTATGGGTGTGTGTTTTCAATATGAAATCAGGTGAATATTGACGGTCATTCATGCTTCTGCATCCTGTTGAAAATGCCCCACTAGAACTTCCCAAAGGATTGGTTCCCAGGTTTCTCTATCACCCAAAAACAGAAAAAGAAAAAGAGCAAAGAACACAAGCAAGCTGTGTTAAAAAAAAAAAAAAAAAATCTGTCATCCTGTGTCATTCCAAAAAGGAAAGGCATTGCTAGAGATTCTATCCTGGCTTAGGATGGAAGGGGAGGGGGGAATTTGGGATTTGGTGCAGTGAATAGACCTCTTGCCTAGCATGCAGCAAGCCCTGGGTACCATCCCCAGGAATAAACCAGGTGCAATGGTGCACATCTATATACCTGTAATCTCAGTGTTTCAGAGGCAGACAGGAGATCAGGAGTTCAAGGCCATTATTGGCTGTGTAACAAATTCAGTCTGGGCTACATGAAAGCCTTTATTAAACTTAAAATTTAAGAATAAGATGAAATAAAATGTTCTGTGTCGGGAAGGTGTCTGTTGCTAGTGACATTAGCAATACAATTTTTATGTTTATCCCTTGGATTTTCATGTCTTTTCGTTTTGCAAATCTGAATATTTTAAGTACGATCACATCGTTTTAAGCTATTTAATCTTTTCACTGTCTTTCTTGAGGATGTCTGCTAGACAGATACTAGTTGTGTTCCCCATGTTTCAGAAACTCTACAGCAACAATGAGCCCTACCAGGTGAGAAGGTTTGTCCTTGATAATACATCTTTATCTCATTTCCCAAAAAAGTATCAGATTTAGCCCAGAGCCAAATAATACCTCACAAAGCATCTTATATTTGCTTTGGTCCCTCTGTGTAATCAGCCCCATCACCGTGATTTGACCTTCACGCTCCAATCCTGTGGTGTCAACAGGTTAGGATGACCAGTGTATTATTAATCACTATCAAACCCCCGCCATGTGCCTGCCATTGTGTTAGACACTTTATATTTATCTTCTCTTTTAATCCTAAAACAACCCAGTGGGGTATGGTGCATGGTTATCTCCATTTTACAAGGAGAAAACCACTCCAAAGATTAAGGCACTGAGCGCTGGTGGGCACCCACCCGTGTCTCAGCCGAGCATTGGGACTAAATGCCAAGTTCCGATGATTTTCCCACTCTCAGTATTGTTTCATTTTATTTTTCATTTTTATATTGCTTTAAAAAATAAAGGTAATGAGGACTTAGAGATGGCTCATTGGGAAAAGATAAAAGATGCTCGTCACCAATCCTGATGATCTGAGATAGAGCTGAGATCTGGGTACAAACTCCCCCCCTCCACCCCCGCCAACACACACAAGGAAGGAAGGAGAAAGGATGTCCTTTGGGTAGTTCTTATTGCAATGATCTACTTTCCTGCATGCTTTGTAGGTGGCATATTTGATTGCATTTTGTGTATCACTGATGACACACCCATCTCTGGCTTGCAGACCTTTTTAAGGGCTTTTAACTGGGACCTGCACTTGGCCTGAGTTGCCAAGATTGCCTCTCTATTCTGGCCACTTACCTTGAGAGAGAGAGAGGGGAAAAAAAATAGAGGCGAGAGGAAAGAGGGGAGGAAGAGAAAGGAGGTCATGAGGTAGGGAAACAGATCATAGTTTTAACTTTTTACTTAGGAAGAAAAGGAATTACCAGTTGGCTTGTTCACTATCGAGCTCTTCCCATTCAGGCCACATTTCTGAAAACTGAGATTATGTTTTGTTTTGTTTTGTTTTTAAACATGAGAATTGTTTCTCTTTATTTTTACATGTATATGTGTGTCTGTGTGTGGTGTATGCATGTATGTGCTCAGGTATGTGCAAGTATGCTTGCCCATGCATGTTACATGTGGAGGCCAGGGGACTACCTCTATAGAGTTCCACCTTATTTATTGAGACAGGTACTCTTGCTGACGCTGGAGATCACCATTGTGCCTAGACTGACTGACTTGATCTCTTGTCTGTCCCCAGTGATGGCATAGCCACCGTGTATGGCTTTTAATGTAGGTATTGGGGATCTAACTCATGTCCTCCTACCTGCACAGCAAGCCCTTTGCCCACTTGAGCCCTCCGTTCACCGCCAAGAGCATGTGTTCTTATTTTTATTTACCTTTTTAAGTAAATCACACTCGTGAAACCGTAAAGAAGCAGATCTGCGTGAAGCAGCCCACGGAATTCCCAACTATTTTCATTCACCCGTTCTTTCCGCCTGTGCTGAGCATCTCCTTATGCTCAGACCTGGACTCATTATTTGCAATCAGTATGGTCATCATCATTGTCATCATTGTCATTATCATTATCATTATCCTCCTCTTCACCATGGCCACATCCCTGAGTACCAATTAGCAGTGTGGGCATTTGCAGAGCCATGTACAATGTATACTCCATATGGCGTCTGTCTTTGAGGAAGCAGGTGGAGCAGCCTGTAGCACGAATGACAATCTACTCACGAATACGATTGCATTTCCATGTTATCATAGGGCAGCATAGTGCAGTCGAGGGCTGTGTCTGGCTGTATAAATGAATCCATCCCCTACCTCATGAGCTGAATATGAGAAGCAGGGTGAGCCTGAGATTGTGCCAGGGTTGAGAGGTGCCCATATTAAAAAAAAAAAAAAAAAAAAAAAAAAAGCCCCAGCTCTTCATCCTTTCCCTCCTCATCCTCACCACCACCATAGGTAGCTATGGCTGTTTCCTACTGTTAGCTTGAGAAGATGAGTGTGGATTGGGTGTTGTGGGGTCCACACATGTCTCAGCCCCATGACTGAGGGGGTCCACAGAGCAGGAAATTGAAAAAAAAAATGAGGATGGCAGGGAGATCTTCAAACACCATTTTTATTTATTTGTGCTCAGAACCTCTCCAATCAATCAATCAATCAATCAATCAGTCAACAACCCAGCTGACTAGTAGACAATGCACAGAGACAAGTATGTGGCCTATAACATTCACAAGTTTAAGATTAGACCTTGCACACATATGTCAGGCCTGTAGGAGTTTCTCGATTCCTGGCAAGGAAGGTTTAGGTCCTGATGAGCCTGTAGGAGGTACATCTATGACATAACTCACCCTCTTCCATCAGACCTCACTCACTGTTCTGTGCCCGAGGAAACAGCTTTCTCAAAGGTGACCTCCCAGTGTCTAAATTCTCTCCTGATTGGCTCCCAGGACCTTTAACATGGCATAGGACTGCAAATTTATTCTAGGACTTAGACTTGCAGCCAAGTATAGAGGACCACTATTCCACCAGTCCAGGTCTCATCTGGGATGGTCCTACAGGATGTTGGATGGGAGATTTTCTATAAACCCAGGGATAAAGCACCCATGCGCACACTAGGGTTCTCCCAGGAGAATCTCACCTTTCCAAGTGTTAGGGATGATGACTTCACACCTAACTAACAATCTCTTAATAGTCCCTCTCTTGGGTGACCTTTCTGTGCCTCTTTCAACCTCTCTCCCCTGCCCCACAGTAAAAGGTAGACAAGCCCAGAGGACCATCTGGGGCAGAGGGTGGGAGGGAGGTAAGGGAGAAGGTCTGCATTCTGCCCCTTGATTCCCTGGCTGGGCCTGGTTATCTTGCTGTCTCCTTTCAAAAACAGCAAGGGACACCCTATGTCCACCTTTTTGTGAGAACAAATAAACAGGCCGAGGTTCTCACGTCTTTATTAAACGTTTCCTTCACACTGCATGCTTTGGCACTGCGCCCACGTGCAACAAGAAGGCTCCGCAGAGCGGCCAGACCCCACAGCCCTGCCACACAGTTCCTCTTCTAAATAGCCCTTTGAACAGGCACGAGGCACCTGCACTGACCACTACAGGCCTCTCTTCTATGCCATCAAGGTCTTCCAGCTCCTGGAGTTCCTGGCTGGAAGGCTGCTAAGAAGCCTCTTTGCACCTCTACTGATCAAGGACTGGCAAAAGGATCCGGGGTCCAGCTGCCTGTGCTGCTTCCACACAAGGCCAGGAACCGCTGGGGTGCACAGCCCGGCCGTGGGGAAGGAAGGGCACTGGTGGCCAGCAGCTATGATGAAAACGTAGGACTGCAGCCAGGAAGAGAAAGGCCAATCATAAATAAACAAAAAGGGCATGTTTGACCAAACCCCCAACCCCTAAATCTTGAAGGCCACCGGAGCAGGAAATTGAGCGGCTGCACGGAGCAGCTTTGCTTCTCCCCACTCCACCTCCACACCCTGCTCTGGCCTCAAAGGTTTTCTGGGCTATCCAAGGGGGGTTGTTTGCCTCGGCCCCCCCCCCGTCTTTAATTTAGAAATTTCAAAGATACAGAAAAAGCGGAAGTGCATTTTTAAAGCACATTGAACAGTCAGTGGCCAGAGATCTGCGATCTGCGTGATATCGAAAGAGGAAGAAAGGTTGGATGGAGAAGGAAAAGGAAAAAGCGTGTGTGTGTGTGTGTGTGTGTGTGTGTGTGTGTGTGCGCAGGATATTCTCTGAGACAGCCTAGGAAAAGGGAAAACAAAGGCAAGCGTGGCATGAGAAAGGCAGAAATAAGTGGGAGAGATATATGAGCGTTGGGGGAGGGGCGATCAGGCGATGGCTGGGAGGATGGAGACGGGAACGCTGGCTGAGAGGCAGGCCGCACACGCACACGTGTGAGGGAGAGAGACAATGATGTCAGCATTTCCTTCTGGGGTGGTCACGTGGTCCTTGCCAGGTAAACAGACTGGAAATAGACTCCATAAAGACAGCCTGCTGGGGGAGGCAGAGGCAGCAGCTTCACCCTTTCCTCCCTGCTCCATCCTCAACAAGCAGGTTCTCCTCTCTGAGCTGAGACAGTAGAATCATGTTCTTAGAGCCCAAGGAACATGACCAAAGCGCTGAAAGTGATTGGCTTCTTTGTGATTAGCCCAAGGAGTTCAGAGACATTTCGATGCTTCAGGGGAAGAAAAAAGAAAGAAAAGAAAAACAATAAAGGTGGGATGAACAACAAGCTGAGCTTGATGTCGTGTCTTGTGCTAGGGTTTGCTTAGGCAGGTCAGAGAGGTCTAGATTAAGGCTGGCTTGGGAGGGGCGGTTCAGAAGGCAAGTCATTGCAGACACAAGGACTCAAAATGTTCAGGAATTTAATGCAGCTCAGTGTGTGACTTCAGTGTCACAGGGAGGGATGGAAACCATGCAAATAGACGGGGTAAAAAGGCAAGTTCCAGTGGTGGCACACACCTGTAATTCCAGCACACAGGAGACCGAGACAGGAAGACTGGGTGTTCTAAACCAACCCGAACTGCTTAGTTAAAAGGGCTTTCTTAAAAGAAGACGTGGCTTGCCAAGTACAAATAAGACTCCCCAGCAAAGCATGATAAGAATTTAGGGCGGGGCACGCCTTTAATCCCAGCACTCGGGAGGCAGGGGCAGGCTGATCTCTGTGAGTTCGAGGCCAGCCTGGTCTGCAAGAGCTAGTTCCAGGACAGGAACCAAAGCTACAGAGAAACCCTGTCTCAAAAAAAAAGAAATTCTAAGGCCACATCTGAAAAGCTGACTAGAGTGGTAGTGCATGTCTTTGATCCCAGCACCTGGGAGGCTGAGACAGGTGAATCTCTGTGAGTTTGAGGCCAGCCTGGTCTATATATGAAGTTCCAGGACAGCCAGGGCTATGTAGAGAGACCTTGTCTCAAAAAAAAAGCAAATAAAAAAGGAAGGAAGGAAGGTAGGTAGAGCAAGCTAAGGGAAGAGAGCAGGTAGTTTTTCTATCTAGAAAGCTTTAGGACTCAACATGGTGGCTGCGGGTTCAAGTTCCTGAAAGTAAGGCCTCTGCATGCTTGGTGAAATGATCTCCTTTAGGTCACCCCAGTTTGCATAGTTTTGGATCAGACCCAGCTACACCTTGTTTTCTCTCCCTGTGGAACTTTGGCCCAGGCCTGTGCGAAGTAAGCCCATCAGGTCTGTCAGTCTTGTGGGATAGAGAAGGCTCCTGGGATGCACCTGTAGGCCTTGTCAGTGCTAGATAAATGGGGATGACTTGGTTGTCCTGAAAGACCAGCAGGGCCTCTCCAGATAGAAACAAGAAGAGAATATGCCCCTCCCTCCTCCCAAGACCGCTCCTCCACCATCTCTGATGATTTTAAAGCAGGAAGTACCAGATTTCAAGATGAACTGGGGCATCCAGTGTGTCTGTAGCTAGACTTAGGAAGTGAATCAAAAGCAGGCTTTAGCTGCACCAGGGGAATGGGGTATAAGATGTATGTTTGTGGATACGGCTTTTCTACCCCCACCCCATTAGCCCCTCTTATGAGTGAGGGGCGGTGAACTAATGTACGCACATGTACTTTTAGCCCTGGGGTTAAAAGATAGATATTTGATCCCTTCCTTTGGTAACAACATATGTCAGTCTGACACAACTCCTAGCCCTGAGTTATTTTTGCAGCATTATGTAATTGGATTGCCTAGTCAGAAGCGCTCCCTTAACAAGCCTTTCGGCAGCTCTCCATGTGGGCCAGGCCAGTCTTGCCCAGTGGCATACACCCACACTTGGGCAGTCCTAGTCAGAGTCAACCAGCTAATCCCAGTGAAGGGAGACTAGCCTGTGGTCAAACACTGTAGAAACATCCAGAAAGGTGGTGAAGACCTGGATGGTACCTAGGAGGCAAGAGCTGGCGGCTACCAAACACTGTACCCTATGGGTCCCGCAAAGCACAAGCTCTCGAGTGCCCAAGAAGCCCGCCTGCCCTATGAGTGCTGCTGTCATCCTAATTCCCAGCTTACTGGATTTCCTAATATTTTTTCATGAGTGGTCATCTGATTATCCCTTCCTGTTAGCCCAGATGACTCACAGAAGTAAGGAACTTGTCCTAGCTCCAGACAGACTAAGACAGTTTGCAAAGGAAAACAAGAAGGCCCCGTAGGAACTTTCTCCTCCCCTTCCCCCGCCCTTGGCAGAAGCAGTTCAGGCTGGCAAGTCCGGAGCACACTGGGGCATCACTTCAGGGGGGCTACACCCTTGCTGACACCCCAGGTGGCTTGTTGCCTCTGTTGCAGAGAGCATCCTTCTTACTGCCCAGCGACTGTCTCCTATTCTTGAGTGTCAGCCCGAGACCAGACAAAATGAAGACTGGCTTGTGTTTCCTCTGCTCACCCCATCCACACCGCACCTCTTCCTATACCTTGCTTCTCTTCCTTTGACAAGAGGCAGATGGTACAAAGCCCCCGCAGAACCTGGTCTGCAGTTCAAGCCAAGCAAACCATAAAGCTGTGTGGCCTTGAAGTGAGCCTCTCTGGGTGTGATGATTCTCGTCTATAAAAATGAAATCCACAGCATTTTTCCCAGGGCCTCTAGGAGAGAGGAGTGCAACTATGCGTACAGCAGATGAAAGGGAACCTCGCGTAGTAGGTGCCCAGCTTACAAAGTAGGTGCCCCGCAAATGTAGAGGACTTGGGGAGAGAAGGAAACAGACACTTGCTTGGCCCCTGAGAACAAACTGCATCCTTATTAACCGCCACTCATAATGTCATTTTGAATTTCAGCATCATTGGGTGGAGAGGGGAAAAGAGATCCTGATCTCTGGGATAACCCCCCATGACTAATACGTTTCCCACCTAAAAACTGCCCCACCCGGCGCCCCCTTACAGGCCCCGTCTTCCGGTAGACCCCTGTAAGGCTAAGCACTAAATCTAATTTAGCTTACGTTTCTTTCACCTGTGCCAAGCGGTAGGGTTCACCAACTACCCAGGGGGGGGGGGGAGACAAGAGCTGAGCAAGGTCTCTCCCAAAGGTGAGCCCTGGTGTGAATCTAGGCCTTCTGGTTGGAACCCACAGGGCAGGGGATACCGAGAGCAAAAGGAGGCAGGCACAAACAGCTACAAGCAAATAACTGCGGAGGCCGGGTGGTGGGGGGTGGTGGAAGCCTCTCTCTGGAGCTGGGGGCAGGGAAGAGCCGGCACCTCCGGGGCTGGTCGCTGAAGTAAACAAACACCCGGAGCCTATCACGTTGACCGCACCTGGAGGGGGCCGGGACGAGGGGGCCGGCGGCCTGTGGCAGCAGCGAGCACCGCTATCTTAGTTGGCAGGAAGCCCTTCCCTGAAGACTGTAAGTCTAACCTTTAGCATTCAAGTGTCGGGGGCTAAAGTGTCGTTCTGAGCAGTTCTTCCTGCTGCAGCGTTCCCAGACTTCGGGAGGAGGGTCGGCGCAAATCTTCCCGCTTTCCTTTTTTTTTTTTTTTTTCCTCCCAGACAAAACGCGCGAGGGAGGGAGATGCTCAGAACCAGGCATGCAAGACACAGGCACCCCTGAAGTTGGCCTTCTGCTAAACCAAACGCCCACTCCCATCTCCTTGGCTCTGCGGTCGGCCCCAGTGGGTCCTCCACTCTCCGCTCGGCCCTGAAGCCGAAGGCTACGGAAACAACCTTCTTTCCCAAACACCTAGGCTGGGAGGGGCAGCCTGGGACGACTCTCCCGCCCAGTGTCTTGCAGCCGCGTTCAGGGACCTCTTCCTGAGCAGCCCCACCTCTGCTCCTAGTGTGGCATGGGTGGGACGTCTGGTGGCCCAGCAAAGTCTGGGAAGCTCGACAGGTTGCGAAGGAGGCGAAAATCTACAGGACAGGCAGCCCCAGCTAGGGAGTCGCAGCTATAGGGAGGAAGGGCTGGGCTTGGTCGGTGAGGATCCAGGCCAGGGTGCGCGCCCAAGCCCTCTGCTTTCCTGCTAGGTTGATAGGGCCCGGGCTGTGCGTAATGGTTTTCCTAGGTTCCCGCAGGAGAACGGTGGCAGGGTTGCGCCGCCTGGGCTAACCCATTCCTTCTCCCAGCCAAGGGGCCCCAGGGACTTGCCAGGCACGCACCTGCAAGTGGCGCCTGGGTTCCAGGGCTGCGGCTCTTCCCTGGCCTAAGCGCTCCAATTGGTGTCTTCGGGGGCCAGAGCTTCCTGGCACCCCAAACCAGGGAGAAGGAATGGGCCCGGAAATACCGGGCTAGGCGTGCCAAGAGATTAGGGATGCGCGCGCTGGCTCGGAGAACCAGGATCTGCATCTTGGGGAAATGTCGGGATTCTAGCCGTTATGGTTTTGGGGACCAGGGTGGAGAGATCTGGGGTGGTGACTGGTCCTTACACTATCCAGTCCCCGGGTAGGGGATGGAGACGCAGATATAGAAAGGGTGCGTCCTATCCGGGCCACGGGAAACTGGCGTCGAATGTTCTAGCTACCCACTGAGCTCTGGAATGGAATTGACAGCCTGCTGTGGTTGCAAGGACGTGCCTGAAACACATAGGGGGCCAATGCCCTGCCCTATGCCTGGCCTGAAGCCCCCCCCCCCCCACTCTCCGAGGAAAATGTGGCTAGCTGGAGCCATCCCCAGGTGCCCCAAGCCTGTTGCGTCTTGAACCTCTTGAGGGACCTCGCAACGCGCCTTGCCGCTACCCATTATCCCCATCTAAATGCGGGTCCCAGATTTCGTGCCTTACGCACACTCCAAGATCAGATTCACCTTTTTCTTTATTCTTAAGAACGGGAAATAAACGAATCGAATTTTTTTTCCTTTGGAAAAAAATATCTGTTCAATATCCTTTGTTGCTTGAATTGTTCTTAGAATTTTTTTTCAACTTCATTTAAAAAAAAAAGTTGATGTGTTCCCTAAACCTTGTTTCTTTTTAAACCATCCCCTAAGCCGTGCAGCCGGTTACTCTGAGGTTTTCTGGGGGGGCGAAAACAGCGAAATGGGATGGGAGGGAGAACGCAGACTGGGAATCTCTCATTTTAAATCCCATTATGGCTTTGAGGAGAAGCACAAAAAAAAAAAAAAAAAAAAAAAAAAGCAGGAAAATCTAGTCCGTCCCCCACTGATTTCCCTCACTTCAAAGATTTCCCTCGCCCCTTAAATCAGAAACATTATGGCAGTAGGTATTTCTCAAGGAAAAAAAATGCACATTTTTTTTCCTGAACATGTATACGATATAGGTTCTTTTTTACGTTTCTCAGCAAAAGAGAAAAAGGGGTGTGTTTGAGGCACTCAATTCCCTCGCCATTAAACAAGCCATGCCTGCAAGAAATGCAAGCATGGGGGGGGGGATTGCTCAGCCACGCATCCCTCCATTAGCGCATGCCTGCCTGTCAACAATGCACGTGCCACCATGGGCATCCTCTCCCCAGGCCAGCCCTGGTAGAGCACACTCCCTGCTCTGCTCTTCAGACCCCCCTCCCCCCTCCGGCTCTTCTCAGGACTTCCTTTTCTTCTGCCTGTGGCAGGCAAGCAAGAAGCGTCCATCATCCCCCCCCCCCAAGTTATATGCTCTTGGGAACCCCTAAAGCGAGTGTTGCCCGATCAAGGGTCTCTGCCCTGCAGTTGTTCACTTTGTTGAGTTGTGATGAGTTAGTTCTGTCTCCTTCTCACCGGCCCCCGGGTTTAGATGTGGTGCAGACTTCTGGTACCAGGACACCAGAAGGGAAGCCAGTGTGTGGTGGTGGTGCAGAACCCAGGAGAGTCCCGCAATCCGTTCCTTCTGCTCCCCTGCCACCAAGATTGGACTTCGGATTTCCATTGCAAAGGAATGGAGGAAACTAGGGAATCCAACTCTACCCCTGCAAGCTGACCAATTGTCCTGCATTTTCACAAACCCTAGGTACTGAAAATGAACGCAGGATTTATCGCTAGGAACCCTTTCAAGGATCCAGCGCTCTGAGTTTGGAGCTAATTCTTTAATGGTTTTACTTGTGAGAAATAGGAAGAAAAAAAAAAAAGAAAAGAATGAATGAAATATATTAAACCAAAACAAGAACAACAACAACAAAATACCAGGGCTGATCCCCGCCTCCTTGCCTCAGGGATGAAGCCTTTTTAGATTCCAGCGGCCAATTTGGCTTGATTTCTGAGGTTTGGAGGTTCTGGCGGGATTAGGGGTGGGCAGGTTGGAAAAGACAGACCTCAGCTGCCTTTGGACCAGCTGGGCTGCCCTTGGCCCTGGAAGCACAGGTTGGATCAGGGTGACTTGCTTTCACCTCAGAGGCAGACCCGGAGGAGGGCATGGCATGGATGAGTACCCCTTGCTGGGCTTCCATTCATCTCCCTGTCTCCTCTTTCCCAGGGACCCGGGTCTTTCTGGGAGTCTGAGCCAGGGCTTTTCTTACCCACAGCTGTTTTTCTTCTTGTAACTTTTCAAGCAAGCAAGCAAACAAACAAACAAACTCTCCTCTTGTTCTCCCAAATGCCCAGCCTCCTTGGTGGTGGTGGGGGCACGCTTTGGGAAGCACATTTTTTAGCTAAAGCCCCCCCCCATGTACATACACACTTGCTGCACACCCCATTACTCCCCGGACCTGGGCGCTAAGACTCCACAGCTGCCAAGACTGAAGACTTTGACAATTTGTTCTTTTCTAGTGAAACACCTTAGGAACAAATATGAATTAGGCTTTTGGTCATTTTTCAGGTGTGAGACATATTTTGGATGAAAAGGATTCTGGGGGCTGTGTGAGATGGGAGAAGGAAAACATTTGACTAAAAAAAAAATGTAGACACCAAGCAAGAAACTGCATGTGACAAACCCCACCGTGTACACCCACCCAGGACTGTAGGAGAGGACATGACTTGAGTCCAAGGCAGGGAGGGCCACAGTCAAACTTCTTCCTGCTAAGAGCATCCCAGCCTTCTCCCAAGGAGAAGGAAGTTTTGACCGACGTTGGCTTCGTATTCCCTGGCACACCCGAGGACAAACTTTCAGATCTGGTGTTTAAGACTCCAGAACACGGGGTTCATAGCAGGGGCAGGGCTATTGGAGGAGTGACTAGGGGAAGTCAGAACTACACCCGGCAACCCTAGGAGTCAAAGAGATCTGTCCGGTTTGACTGGGGGTCAAGGGGTGGACTGGGGCCAGGGGAGGGAATGGATGGAGCGCCACAGCACGTGCATGCTGCTCTCTCCTGTGTTTCCAGCCCCCCCCCCATCTTCTGCCATTTCCAGAGGCAGGAGAAAGGTGATCTCGGACTTGACCCCTAAATCACAGCTGCCGGTGGCTGCACCTCGCTCAGGGATGAGCACAGCCCCTTCCCTGGGCTCTGGCAACTTAACTCTTTCCTCCCTGCAAGCTCAGAGGCCCGAGACGGGTGGCTGTGACTCTGGCTGGCTTTGCTAGCAATCCGCCTCCCCAGCTTTACACCTTGAATCCGATGCAGAGATCACAAAAGGAAGTCCCACAAAAGGGTGAGGGTAAGGGACGCTGGGATCTTGGACACAAGCGCTGCCAGGGAGCCTAAGGAGGATCGGAGTTAGCGGAATGAAGAGGGATGTTTGGATCGTGTTAACTACTCAGACAGATGCACTTCGGCATGTCTGTATTTATGGAATCCATATGTTGTCGTGGCAAATGAAAAGACGGCAACATGTACATACAATAGACGTAGAATAACAATACACATTTAAAAAGAGACCAAACATTCTTCACTCTTCAACCCTTCCCTTTCCTTACATCTTGAGCTAGAGATGTTCAGAGATGCATCCTTTCAACCTCCCCTGACTCCACACTGGGTTTTAATATCCTCTCCTTTTTTGTTTCTGTGTCTCCAGTCACCCTGAGGGGAGGGGAGGATTCTTGAGACCCAAAGCTAGGTTCTTTTTAAAAGAAATATTCTAGCAAGCCCCCCCCCCCCACTCTCTTTCCTCCTAACACTGGCCATTGCATATTTAGCCCTTGGACCAAATAATAGCTACCACAACCTCCTACTCTGAAAACTGTAGGGGAACAGATTCAGACTCAAAGTCAGCATCTGCATCCTCTTCATTAAAGCAACATTGCTATGTTATATTTGCAAAGAAATGGCTTCAAACAGACCTGGAAACATAAATCTCCCAGCAAGGGGAAGCCCCTGAACAGCTCTGTACAACACCTGCATTTGTGCACACCTTGTATATTTGTGTGCACACACACAGATGAAAAGGCATCTGAAGTCATTCAAATGTATATTTATGTACCCTTTTATGCATATACCTTTGTTATAGCCATTCATTTGAGAGAGAGAGAGAAAGGCAGGGAAAAAAAAAACCGTAGCTAGCAATGCAGTGTTTAGACTACATTCCACTTTCCCTCCCCACTGTAAAATGCCTTAAAAAAGCAGGTTGGTCTAAAATTTTCTGCCTTCTTGCCAGTAAATAAAGGATTTAGATTCTGGATTTTCTGCTCCCTCTCCCGATTTTGTATGTATGTAAAACAATCCATATAGATGCTGGATTATCATCTAAAGCATTATTGAACCACACAAGGTTGTTACTTTTCTTTAGAACGAATTCTCCCAGTAAAATTAGCATAAGTACTTACAAGATTAAGCTGACATTTCCCTATAACTGCAACATGAAATAGATTAATATCCAGAATTTTTCCCCAAATAGGGACTTTCTTCACACGTTTTTTTAAAATATAAGAAACAACAGGCTACAAGTTCACTTCTTCTATTTACATTTCCAAAGAAAATAAACATATGGCATTTAAGTGGTTTTTCAACATCTACAAGGAGAAATTTAATTTTGCTGCATCTCCAAAAAAACAAACCAACAGATTTATGAAGATTCATGAAGACAGAGAAATATGAAGCAAACATATCCCTCAAGGGCTGATCAGTTTTCCTTACCTGATGTATTATGGAAAAATTCAGAATTTACCAGCCTTCCCTCAGTCAGCTACATTTTACACTGACCTGTATTTTGAACTGAAAGAAAAAAAAAGAGATTAACTGTTGCCAATGAAAATTTTAAAATAATAATCAGAAACCAGACAAACTGAAGGTAAAAATATACAATGGCTACAATAAAGATAAATATTTATTTAATCAAAGCAGAGGTTGTATTTGGACTGTAGGAATGTTTCATCCTTCCCCTAAAAAAAGAGGGGGGGGAGAAAGGCCAGAAAGAAAAAAGCCAGGGTCTTCACACGCTCCTGGAGAGTCCCCATTGTCCAGGGCTATCGAGAGCCCAGAATGGTATTAACCTCACAAAAGACACATTGTGCAGGGGACAAAAAAAAAGCCCCTTCTTCTACAATAACTTTTAGCTTTTTTATTTTTAGAAAATGACAAAGGTTTTGCAAGCACTGACTGGCGAAACCTGTAGCAAGCCAGGCTGGACTTGGCTTTTATTGATCAGCTGTCCCGCATGGAAAGGCGGCCAGGAAAACTTTGACTGGCAACCCAGATTTGGCTCAGAGAGAGGAAACCCCTGATTTTTCTAAATGTATTTTCTTTTTCTCCCCCCCCCCATGCCCCGCCTAAATAAAACAGCATTATTCCCAGGGTGAATTCAGAAGGATTAGATGAGGTAACTGCAAAATCCTAAACCGGTTTTCTCCCTCTCGTCTTGGCTAAGACGCTGCATGGTCTTAAGAGCATTGGAAAAAAATCGCTCAAAATGAAGAATTACTTTCTAATCAAACAGATTTTCCCGATTAATTCCCAAATTCCTTCTTAGATGAATAATCTTGGTAGGCTGGGGCAAAAAAAAATTACCCCCAAGAAAAATAAGTTTTAGCGAGCTCTCTCCCTACCTGGCTTGTTTGCAAGTCAGTTAAAGTGTAGATTGCATTTTATTTCATCACAGACAGTGTAATTTCAATGGCACTAGTTCTCATGGAGAACCTACATAAATACATGCTTGTCATTAAAAAAATATATGCAGTAGTCAGTAGCAGTGATGCGCTGAAACTACGATGAGAGAGAGAGAGAGAGAGAGAGAGAGAGAGAGAGAGAGAGAGAGAGAGAGAGAGAGAGA